CACCTGAAAGACTGTTTTGCTCTGTGTGTTGCACAGTTTGGTTTTTAGGTTTCATTTTTTATTCATAAAAATCCTTAAAATAACACAGTCCGTACCGTACCACGTATTCTTGCCGCTGGCCCGCACTTAAAGTGACCCAGGAGACAAGACACCTTTTCCGTAGCGATTAAACAGGCACCTGGGCAATGATGCATGGCATCCAGGAAGGGAATAAATCTGCCGGTTTCGGTGAAAATGGAAGCATTTACGTTACTAAGTAGGGGCGCCTGGGTGGCTCAGTTGGGCCTCAGACGCTTGATCTCCTCCCGAGTCTTGATCTCGGGGCTGTGGGTTCGGGCCCGCGTTGGGCTCCGCGCTGGGCGTGAAGCCTACTTAAAGAAAAATTAAATCGTACTTGGCATTGTAGTCATTTAAAAATGTGCTCTGTAAACATCACTTCTCAATTTTAAAATTTTACGTGAATTGAACTTTTTGCTTGCGTCGTGTCAGGTGTTTGTAGATCGCTGACACCTCAGCTGGTCTGTGCTGGGCGGAATGTTCGTACCCATCTGCAGAGTAATTGAGATTTTGCCCGTGTGTAAAATACTTACGAGTCGAGTATAGGCGGTATTTAATAAAGGGTAGCTGGTGTTATCTGCAGATGAGGAACTGCAGGAGCAGAACACCTAACGAGAGAGAAACTGCTATTTATCGAGCACCAGTTATCCTGCTGATGAAGAACCAAGGTGTCTGTTACCTTGTCCAAAGTCACGTTAGTTGGGATTTGAACCTGGTCCTCAAACGGCACACCATGCACACTGGATTACAGAGTACTCTTACCTATAACCTAAGAGAGGGCGGCGGCAGCGTTTATGTTTGTTTCAGGTTTATATCCTCATGCTACCAGACCCGGGGTACTTAATTAGAAAGCTAAGCATCTAAATATGAGAATATTGTGGGTAATGTAAAATAACTATTGATACTATCATACTTCTGCGTTTTCAAAACGTTTTCATATTTTTGTTTGATCTTCCCAACACTCCAGGGTATTAGTTACTGCTATTTTATAATTGGGAAGATTCCATGATTAAGACCTAAATTACTCTTCAAAGCCATGTTAGTGATACTGGAATTTAAGTTGTGTAGGTGTACTTTTTTCGTTTTTTTAATTCTTAGAGTATAATTGACACAGTATATTAGTTTCAGGTGCATTATTTATTTATTTTTGCATAGATCGGTTCATACTATTATAAAGTTTGGTAACATTTTAATTAAGTTATTTTTTAATGTTTATTTGGGGGGCGCCCCCCCCCCCCCCCCCCCCCCCCCCCCCCGGGCGGGGGCGGGGGAAGAGAGGGAGACACAGAATTCGAAGCCAGTTCCAGGCTCTCAGCTGTCAGCACAGAGCCCTATGTGAAGCTCCAACTGGAGCCGTGACATCATGACCTGAGCCGAAGTTGGACGCTTAACCAACTGAGCACCCAGGCACCCCTTAATTTTTAAAAATACAATCATATTGTGAGCAATTTTACATGTTGTAAAAATTCCTTGAAAAATGATTCTTAATGTCTTGATAGTATTTTATTGTATGACCATTAAAAAAACTATAGTATTGTTGAAGAATTGATTTTTCTAGTTATTTTCTATAAGATAATGGAAAAGTATTCATATACATAAATCTTTGTCTCTTTAATTACCTCCTTAGGATAGATACTTGACCGTGTGTAGGAAATTTCTGAAAGGTTGCAGTTTAATTTTTACCAGCAGGATATGGAAATGCTTGGCTCTCTCCATCTTTTTGGTTGTGGAATATTATTTAAAAAATCCTTTTCGGGGCGCCTGGGTGGCGCAGTCGGTTAAGCGTCCGACTTCAGCCAGGTCACGATCTCACGGTCCGTGAATTCGAGCCCCGCGTCGGGCTCTGGGCTGGTGGCTCAGAGCCTGGAGCCTGTTTCCGATTCTGTGTCTCCCTCTCTCTCTGCCCCTCCCCCGCTCATGCTCTGTCTCTCTCTGTCCCAAAAATAAATAAATACGTTGAAAAAAAAAATTAAAAAAAAAATCCTTTTCAGTTTAGTAGAAAGTGGTATCCCAGTTTTTTAAAAATGAGGTATGAACATACACACCATGTAAAATGCACAGATCTTAATACTTAGGTATGATGAATTTTTATAGTTGTACGTACACAAGTAATCACCAGTCACAACAGTATCGAGCCCCAGAATGTTCTTTCGCTCCTTTCCAGTAATCCCCACCGCTGATCCACTTTCTGTCAGTGTAGATTAGTTCTGCCTGTTCTTGGTACTTTATATAAATGGAGTCTACAGCTGCTGGTTTTTTATGTCTGGGTTGTTTTGCCCAGCATGCTTTCGAGATGCATGTTGTCGCATGGATCTGTCATTAGTTCCTTCTACTGCTGAGGAGTATTTTATTATATGAATAGACAACAGTTTCTCCAATTTGTAGACATTTGGGTCATTTCCGGTTTTTGGCTAGTGTGTCTGAGGCTGTTGTGAACATTCGTGTGCAGGTCCTTTTGTGGGCCTCTTTTCTTTCTCCCCGTCCCCTTAGGCTTTTGAGCCTCCCCAGCATCCTCTGCAGAGGCTCATTCAGAGGTTTTTGAGGGGCAGGTAGATCACTTATGGCCTGCGTCACACTGGCCAGAGCTCATTCTGGGGCCCCAGACAGCTGCAAGTGTAGTCAGGCTGTATGCCCACGAGGAGAAGGAAACCACACTTGGTGAAACACAGCATAGTCCCTGCCATAGGCCCTGAGGCCCACCTACCCACACGTTGGAGCTTCTGAGTTCTGCTGGACACGAGCGATAACCTGTTGATTAGGGACCCACAGTACGTCCTTTCCAGCCGTAGGTGGGTCTTTCTTGAGAACATGCCGCTTTCCTCTGGTGTGCCCCCGGGCAGCTCTCCCTTCTGCCTCAGTGCCGCCTGGGACTCAGACCTCCCTTTTCCTTTGTTTCAGCAAATGACACGCTTCCTACCTGGGAAAACGGCGTCTCCCCAACTCTCCTCCTACTCTCCCCTCCCCCAGTATCTAACATTTATTCGTAGCTTTACCCATTCTGGATTGCTTCACTCCTGACCTGGAACAGACTGCCCCTTATGTCAAGATGAATTCTTCTCTGCTCTTAGGTTCCCCTCCCCTGCCGCCCCGAGACTTTGCATCCTTAGAAGGCTCTTTTGCCTTCAACCTTTTCCTCTCCACTGGCACTACCCCCTCACAAGATAAACGTGAAGATTTTCTTGTATTTAAAAAAAACAGGGGCGCCTGGGTGGCTCAGTCAGTTAAGCGTCCAGTTTAGGCTCAGGTCATGATCTCACAGTTCGTGGGTTTGAGCCCTGCATCCGGCTCTGCGCTGACAGTGCTTGGGATTCTCTCTTCACGCTCTCTGCCCCTCCCCCGCTCACATATTTTCTCTCTCTCGTAATAAATAAATAAACTAAAAAAAAAAAAAAAAAGCCAATCCCTTGAGCCTGCCTTTGCCTCTGCCTGGGACTCCCCCTGTTTACAGACAGATCTCTTATTAAAGTGTAGATTTCTAGCAACCTGCTTCCTCCTCTTAGGTTCAGTCCCCCGCATGCTGCAGTCCGACTTGTGCTTCTGCCGTCCAGCGTTGCTGGTGCCCTGCCACCTGCATCAGATGGTTGTCATTCCTTCCTCCTCCTTCTCTTGACTTCTGTGAGGCCCCTTAACCTTTGAGGGGCACAACAGAATCGAGCCCCAGAATGTTCCATTTAGGCTCCATTTTCTGGTCTACTGCCGGGTTCCTTTTCCTTTGTCTGTCCCAACTCCTGTTGATGAGTCCTCTGTGTTTTTGTAGAGCTTGGTGCCAGCTCTGTTTCTTGATTACCAAGTCTGTCTGCAGATGAAGCACAGACTTCTTTCCTGAGTTTGAGACCATCACTAGCAGCCCACCAGATTTCCTCTCCTCTCAGGTTAGCGGCTAGTATATGTGACCCATGCCTGCTGCCACCGCTGGTCATCCATCAATCACTGAAACTTGGAGTCGCTCTAGCCCTTGCTTCTAAGGTCACCAACCAAATCCTGCCCCTCCTACCTCTGAAATCCCTTTCATTCTGTTCTCTGACGCTGGATGGGAGGCTCACTCTTCTCTCAGCCGTACTGTTTCACTGGTTTTACAGGTCGCCACTCCTTTGCTTACCCACAGGTTAGTTGTCCTTACTTCCTTTCTCTATGTAACATTTTTTTTTTTTTAATTGTGTTTTTTTCCTGCTTTTTCACATTTTTTCTGATTGGGGGTGGTTATATTTGAACTTAGAATTCTGTGGAAGGGTGTTTAAGTTCAGTATGAGGATAGACTTAAAAGATATCTTTGCCAAGACAATTTTGTATGAAAGTAGTTGATAAATATACACTGAGATGCCTAAGAACTTAGTCAACAATTTATTAATCCACTGTCCTGTCTGTTCATACTATCAATTTTTAGAAAATCTTTTGTAGTATAATGTAAAAAAAGGATGTTGTTGTAAAAAGTAGTTTCTTTTTTTCCCCTTGTTTTCTGCCTGCGTGCCTTCATTTCCAACATTTTATTCCTGTTCCTGTGGTCACAACTATACCTCTGCCTCCACAGTACTGTGCTTAGAAAGTGAATCCTAGAATTTGTAGTGACCATCTATCTGCAGTCCCTTTTCAGAGACATCGTGCAGACATCTAGTTTCCCCCTTTCCTAAGGATCTGAGAACATAATTGATTTATAGGACTGCGAGTTGGGATGGATGAATATTTAGAACCACTTCATATGAAGTAAGTCTTCACTCAAGAGATACCATTGACTTGAAAGTTCATCCGAAAGATTATCAAGACCTTGCAAGCCTTCCATTTCAGTCTTTGTTTAATACAACAAAATTGTAGCAGTACAAAAGCAATTCAGGCAGTTCTTGTACAGGTTTTTTGGTAATAGAATTGAATATATATACATATCTCCTTATTTTAAAAATTTTTAAAGACACTGTAGCTTTAAAACATTGCGTTTTGTTGATTTCTAGGTCCCTCCTCGTGGTCCATTTTTGGGCGCCATGGGCTCCGCAGTGTGCTCAGATGAACGACGTGATGGCAGAGTTGGCCAAAGAGCACCCTCAAGTTTCATTTGTGAAGGTATTGTATTTCCAGTGTCGCATCTTTTGTGAGCTTAATTCTGACTTATGATGCAGACTGCGTTTTACTAACGTAAGGGAGGAGGGGTGTGGGATTCTACATTTATAGTTGGTGCATTTGTTATTTTTGCAGTAGATTATTCTTAAAAATCTTAAAATTGCTTTGCACTTCTCAAGTACCGAGTAGTGTAACAATCACCATACTTTCCCTGACACATGCTTGGTAGATTGCAGGATGGGCAGCGGGGATGTTTGTGAACAGAAGCAGACTAGATCATTCAGTGTGGGCCATTGTGGTTTTAGTACGGTAAAAATACTAACAGAACTTGCTTCATCGAAGAGCAAGGTGTGATGTGCCAAGTGATTGGAGAAAGGGTGTGTGAGGCGGCTGGGAACCCGGGGAACGGAAAGAAGCTGCTATCTGGGATCTGGGGTCAGGTAAATGCAGACCCATAGGAGAAACCGAAAGCTTTGCTGACCTGTTTAGGAAGCAGAGAAGGAAGGAATCTGGTGTCTCTCTGGCTTGCCTTGTTTTCACCCAGCTTTGCATGCTCTAGTTCCTAGTTTGTGTCTTGGGTGGGCATGTACTAGGAAGTGATAGTTGAGGCTGTGGATTAGCTACTTGGTTTAGCACATTTAATGCTGTCATTCAGGACTTAGTACTGGTTGAAACAACAAAGCCACAGTAGAGAAGCCGAGAATCTTAGAAATGAAACCCTGGTTTCAGAAACTTGAATCCTTCAGATTTAAAGAAACAAGAAAGACCAAAGCCTTATTTTATAAAACCAGAATTTGTGAGTTCAGAGGACATGTTTAGTAAATATACCCACATGTGGGGTTAAAAGTGACATCTCTATTTTCTGCTTTTTGTATCAACTGAAAACAGAATTCTGAAGGCTAATTCACCTGTGTAACAGGAGATAAAACTTTCAGGCAGTTTCTGTACAGATAAGTGTGCTTTGAATGGTGTTGCAGTTAGATGTCTCAAAATCACAACAGCGTGAAAGGTGTACAACGCGAAGCTCCCCTGCACCTCCCCCCCCCCACCCCCCCGCTGTCCTGCCCTATAAAGAAGGGGCTGCCTGTGTTAATTTTGCATGATTCCTTTGTTTTTTTTTTTTTTTTTTTTTTTTTAATGAAGATAGAGCAAATATAGAAGTAATAGCTAGCTTTTTAAAATTTAAGGACTTATTTAAAATTCCAATGAAATGTGTAAATGTAACCTTAGAATATAACCCTAAAATGTCCAGTATAAATAATAGAAGGAGACATTAAAACTGCATGTTTGGTCAGTGATAAAAGATAATGATTACAAGTGGAATGAATGATTAAACATTTCAATCATAAGATTAATCAAGATGATGGTAATTGTTGCAAGTCTGCTTTTATGTGTATAATGTTACAGGTTTAGGTGACACATTGTTCTGAGCTGCCATCTGAATGGTTTATTTAAAGAGACTATAGAATTACTTCTCACATTGGTACCACACTTGGCAGTGAGATTTTAAGTTGTTCAAGTGCTTAAGCGTCTCGCCAGGCGTTGGAAGTCCTGGTCTGCTGGGGATGCCTGAACCCTACTGCACCTGCCTCTCGGGGGTAGGGGCTGGCGCTAGGTGGGGCAGTTCTCCCAGGAGTCATTACTTTCTGAAAATTCACTCTGTGGAGTAGTTGGTCTTTAAATGGCAGGGATAACCTGCAGTGGACTTTGTAAGGTAGGTAATTTAATTGGTGAGCAAATAAGTAAAAAATTTGAGAGGTCTGTTGGCATTCCCCAGGAAGAGAGGGTGCAGTTCATTTTAAAATAACTGTCGATTGTTATTGAGAGCTTTTTGAACAGTCTAGGGAAGGGAACTGATGTTCTGCTCTGTGTCTTTTAATTTGATTTCTTAGTTTTTTTTGTTTGTTTTTTGACTGCCAACAGTCTGGCATTTTTGACTTGTGAATTATAGAGATCAGTCCATTTTATAACTTAGATTTCCAAAATCATCATGTAGGTGATCTCAAGCATAATGTTTTTAATACTTAATTTTTTTTCTTTTTTTTTTACTGTTTGTTTATTTTGAGAGACACACAGAGCATAAGCAGGGGAGGGGCAGAGGGAGGGAGAAGCAGAATCTGAAGCAGGGTCCAGGGTCCAGGCTCCGAGCTGTCAGCAGAGCCCGACGCGGGGCTGGAACCCTTGAACCGTGAGATGGTGACCTGAGTCAAAGTCGGACGCTTAACCGACTGAGCCACCCAGGCGCCCCTTTAATAGTTTGAGTGTAGAGTTTTGTGACCACCAACAGTTTCTTGTTTTGTAGACAATGGGAAAGTAATACCTGAGAAAAGTTAGCGTACGTTTTGGTCCGAATTAGTCTGTGCTCACTGGAACAGGTTGTTGAAAGGCAGGACTCTCACATTTATTGCACGTGGACGAACACCCTCCTTCCTGTACTGATGGGCTGGTGACGAAGTGCACGCACGCTCCTTGGCACCACGTCTGTGCCCGTGCCTTGCGGTGATTCGCTGTTGCGCGTTGGCTGCCCCATCCAGCCCGAACCCAAGGCTCTGGGCCCCACAGGAGGTTCGCACACCTCCAAGGCCTTCGAGAAGACCTAGGAGTCGCTCTTATTGCCCAAAGTCTTACTGAAAACTTAACATTTGTTCAGAGTGAAATTAAATGGCTAATTAAAATGTTACATGTCCTTGCTTTTCAAAATGTGTAAAGTCAGTTTGTTAGCTCTTTGCCTTTAAATTTTTTAATTTTGTTTTTTTCATGTTTTTATTTATTTTTGAGACAGAGAGAGACAGAGCATGAGCAGGGGAGGGACAGAGAGAGAGAGGGAGACACAGAATCCGAAGAAGGCTCCAGGCTCTGAGCTGTCAGCACAGAGCCCGACGGGGGGGGGCTCGAACCCACAGACTGTGAGATCATGACCCGAGCCGAAGTCAGACGCTCAACCGACTGAGCCACCCAGGCGCCCAACTCTTTGCCTTTAAAACGGGAATACACGTTTATTGTTTACTCCCTTGTTTGGTAGATAGACTCTTTCAAGGTCTAGGGTGTGGTAGTGGGGTGGGAAGGAGCGAGAACAGCATAAGGCTCCTTGTGATGGGGTAGTTGGGTACCAGTAGTTCTATTCAAGGTCTGAGTCAAATTCGTCTTTTCGTAGAGTGGCTGTACATTTTTTTTTATTTTACGTTTGATTTTATTGTGATTTAAATTATTAATTGAAATATTTTATTCAATTTGTTACATTAAATTTATTATTTTTTTTCTTCAAATGAGAATTGTATATTTTTAAGGTGTGCAACATGATGATTCAAATCAAATCCATTTTATATGAAGTCTCCCATGTACCCCTGTGGCTTTTTTTTTTTTCCCCCATCTCCAAACTTAGTCTGTGCCTATGGTTCAACGATTAGAGAATATCTTGTACTTCTGTCTGTTCTGTCGTTTAATTCCTGTTTTGTTTGGCTTCTTGAGTAGGTGGTGGGATATTTGAAGTAGAGACCTGTACCTTACCTTGTTTTCATTTTTTTATTGCTTTCCTTTGTGTCATTGGCTTCCATCTCCTATGCCAGCCTCCCCCACCCCTCTTCCAGCTTGGTATTCTGATTCAATTAAGCCGTGGTACTCATTTTACCATATAAGGCACTTTGGTACATAAAATCTCAAAGTCAAGCTTATTGGACACCTGGTTGGTGAGGTTTTGTACTACTGTATTTTATTTAGTAGTAATCTGATTTGTATAGTTCCTGCCGAACTTGAATTTTACGTCCATTGTAACTTCAGATACGAAGGCAAAGGTATAGGAGTTAGATACTTAAATTTGTATTTTTTGATTCTTAAAAAATAGGAATTGTTATAATTTGATTCTTGAATGCACAAGCATCTTAAAATACAGCTCACAGTTCAGTTTCTAAGGGTCTCTAAAATCAGTATAGATAATTTCTGTGTGGTTATAGAAATGTTCAATTCTAAATGTCTGTTCAGTTAGTGTTTGTAAACAGACAATGTAGGGTCATCTCCAGAAGGGTGCCAGCCAGCTGTGTAACTAGGTACCACTTAGCTGAATTCCTGTTTTTCAGTGTCAGAGAATAACCAGTTTATTTGGCATCTTAGAGAACATATGTAGGATTCCATTTTTGGAGAACTCTAAAAATGCCTCTCAGATAATTCAAGTAGAATTGCTAAATCTTAAAAATATTCTAGTTTTTAGGGGCGCCTGGGTGGCGCAGTCGGTTAAGCGTCCGACTTCAGCCAGGTCACGATCTCGCGGTCCGTGAGTTCGAGCCCCGCGTCGGGCTCTGGGCTGATGGCTCGGAGCCTGGAGCCTGTTTCCGATTCTGTGTCTCCCTCTCTCTCTGCCCCTCCTCCGTTCATGCTCTGTTTCTCTCTGTCCCCCAAAAATAAATAAACGTTGAAAAAAAATATTCTAGTTTTTATTTATGCTGTCTTGGTAATTAAAAAAAAAATTAACAATTAACAGTTCATTAGCCATTCCTGGGCTACGTTTGGTAAAGGTCTTTTAAAAAGCTATCAAAAACATTAAAGATCTATTTGGACAAGGAATTTTACTTCGAAAGGTTTTCCTTTAATATCACAAGTCACAGAGTTAGAAAGAAGCCTCTTTTTGATGTTTAACAAAATATTCCTGAATGTCAGGTTTAATTGTTCTCTCCTCAGCCTTGGGGATCAGTGCCACGCTGGCCAGTGGTCACTCCCGTTGTTGGCTTAGCAATAGTGACCACCATTTATTCAGTATTGTGTCAAAATTTATTTACCCAACACTTACAGGCCACTGCTATGCTAGTCACTGGGGGTACACAACAATAGGGTAATTGGGTAACGTTATCAAGGTAATTTCAGAGAATAGTTCTGAAAGGAAAGAAATTAGGTGTGGAAGAAGAGAACCTGGGCTGATGGGCGCTTTATTCCGGTCTGGCTGGAGAGCTGCATCTAGTAAGAGAGCTGGAAGAGGAAAAGGAGCTGTCCTTGGGAGAGCCAGGACAAACTTTTAGGCTGTGGATTAGCAAGTGAGTACTGCTGGAGGGCCTGGCCTGCATATGGGCCACCGGTGGGGCCAGTGAAGGGGGAGAGGGTATGGCAGGAGGCTGGAAGGGGAGGCAACAGCCACATGACCTGTGGGCACTGGTGGAGTTTGGGTTTTATTTTGAGTGCAGTGGAAGTGACACATCAGTTTCTGGTTTTAAGCGCTTACCTGGCTGTCCTGTGGGGAGTGGGTTGAAGTGGCGGAAGGATGCAGACTGGAAGCAAGTACGCACGTTAGGAGGCTATTTCACAGGCCAGGTAAGAGATGCCTTGGACACTGGTGGCAAGGGAGCATCGAAATGACGTCATGGTCTGATTTGGCTTGTATTTTGGAGGGGGAACCCAGAAGACCTGTTAACGGGTTGGATGTTGGGTGAGGGAAATGGAGTAATCAAAGTTGTCTTCCTTTTGATTGGATCACTGGCTGGATGAAAGAAGACAGAGATGCCCTGGGGAGGAACAGGCTTGGTGGGAAATGCCTGGTAGAGATCCACATACAGATGTCAAGTGTGTAGCTTGGAGCTGAGCGGGGAGGTCTGGCCTGGATACAACTTGGGCGTTGTCGCCATATTGGTGTTTCTTAGATGAGACCGCTCAGGGAGGATGAGCGTAAATAAGAGAAGTGCACTCAGAACCAAGTCCTGGGATGTGCCAGCCGTGGAGAGGTTGGCCAGATGTGAGGGAAGAAGCCAAAGAGACTGAGTCATGAGAGTTATAGGAAAAACAAAACAAAACATGGAAGGCCAAGTGAAGGGTATCATGAGAAGGTGGGTGCGGTCGTACTAATGATACCGAAAGGTCAGTAACATGATGAACAAAGAGTAACCATTGGCTTTGGTGAAATGGTAGCTTGGCGGTGTAGAGAGGAGCTTGGCTCTGGAGCTACACTGCCCTCCTCCACTGCTCACCATTGTTGGAATCTTGGCTGAGTTACCTAACCTCCTTAAATTCCAGTTTCTTCTGTTAGTTAGGTGTAATGACAGCATCTATGATCATGCAGATTAAATGACTCAGTATTCAAACTGCACTTAGAACAGTGTCTGGCTTAGATTAATCATAGCTGTCAGCCATTACCATCATAGTGGTCTTCGGTGACCCTCTAGAGAGGGAGTTCCCTACCTCTGCAGTTAACCTTGCTGTGGTAACAGCTCCCTGCCTCTCCTCACCCGACCGCACATGGGAAGGGTCTGAGTTTGAGAGTCATGGTTCAGGAAGTAGATGGTTCCCAACAAAGGCATTTTGTCTGAAATTCCATTCTGGAAACGTTCGTGTTTGGTGAGGGCTAAAGTCATGTATAAATCCTATCTTTGAAATTTAATCTTTCTTTTTGATCGATATAGTAGAAAAAGTTTACCGTAGTATAGTGAAAAAAAGCATAGGTTTTGTAGTCAGTCTTGGGTTTATTTCTCTCCTACCCAGTGACTGTGTGTTTTGGGACAAGTTACATCTTTACCTAGCCCCCTGTAAGGTTGAGATGATAATGTACCATACACTTTTCCAGGTGTTAAGTAGTTTAGGCAGTTGAATGCAAAGAGCCTGTCATGGTTTATGGCACCGAGTAGGTTTTCCATGAAAGATAGCTATTATTGACTGCCGTTGGTCTTTTCTGAATGCAGCTCACTTCTCAGTATTTATTTATTTTCTATTTTCATTGATAGAACTGTCATGTTGCTTTACATCCAATAAAAATGTTTCCAGAGAATTTTACTGCTGCAAAGGTTTTAGGGCCTCAGATAACCCTTGATGTTCTGGGAGAATGGCTGTGCCTTTAGTGACAGTCCTGGCCCCTGCTCTGGGAGGATTTGTTTGTCACCACTGCCTTTGTCTTACGAAGATGTCATCTCGCTGGGAGCTATTTTGAGGAGAGGTGCTTGTGGTGATCCTCCTGGCTTTAGGAATTTCAAGAGGATGATTTGCTTCCTAGAAGAATTGTCACTAAGGGAGACCCTTGGAAACCAGCAGGAATATGAGAAGAGGTCAACTTTAAGCAGCACAGAGGAATGTGTTTTTATGATTCCCGATGTTGCCTGTTTTGGTTTGGTTTAAGACCATAGTATCTTGTTTTTGCTGAGTATTGCCCCCTTTCTTTTATTAAAAAAAAATTTTTTTTAATGTTTATTTATTTTTGAGAGAGCTAGAGCATGAGCGGGTCAGGGGCAGAGACAGGGAGACACGGAATCAGAAGCAGTCGCCAGGCTCCCGGCTCGCAGAGCCCAACGTGGGCTCGAACTCACAGACTGTGAGATCATGACCTGAGCCGAAGTCGGACGCTCAACCTACTGAGCCACCCAGGTGCCCCTTAGTACTGCCCCTTTTTAAAATTTGTGTTATTTTGCTGTTAGAATCCAGTTGTACCAAAGATAGGGATCGTAACTGAGCCTTACCCAGTGCCAGTGTGTGCCGGGCACTCCAGGGGTATTATTTGCAAGAGAAAATAACGAGCTGCCCCAGTCATCGCCTTCTCTGCTGTTATTTGCTTTGAGTGTGCAATTGTTTGAAAGAAAACGGCACAGAAGTTTTCAGAACTTTCAGAAAGCGTGTTCTACATAGTGGTCTCCAAATGCTTTGTCTTCTCTCTGTTCATTTTTTTTAGTTTATTGGACAGTTGATGTTGACTTGAAACGTATATAATTTTCACGTTAATACATTTGAAAGATGAAGGTAATTAAAAATATTTGTCTAAAGGGCGTTTTGAAGAAATAAAAATAAAGTAGTAAAAGAGCACCCGGGAATGTGTGAGACAGAAGATAGAAACCAAAGACGAATGACTGTGCCTCCCACTTACCGTCCAGGTTCATTTGGATAGATGGATGCTGGATTGGGGAAGGCTCTAGATAAGAATAGTGATTCAAGCCCAGTGGAAACCTTCTCTTCCTGGAAAAATACAGGATATAGATCTTTAACTCTTTTAACAGTATAATTTATCAATAAATTTTATTTCCTAGAGGTATAATGTGAATTCAGATTTTTATTGGTTTTAAAAAGTTTATATTAAATTGAAAGTCCTGTGAGGGAAGGATACAATATTACGTCTTAGTTTCTCTCAAAGTGTATTGTTTACAAAATCCTGCACATAAATAGCTTACAGGAACTGTGTTCTAATTATTTAGAAATCGAGTTGCGTGAAATTCATATGTCAGGTAACACACCGTGTCTCGTTGAGGGGCCTCAAGGAAATCATCAAGCAGGATGCAGTCATCTTATTGAAAATGCATTTAAATGTATGAATAGACCCAGAAGTAGATAACCTAGCAAGATCTCTGCCTAGTGTCCGGCAGCCTTGCAGGGGTTAAAAGTAAAATTTATCAGACATCAATAGTTTATTGAAGAAATACTCCTTTTTGCTTCATAATTTGCAGAAGGCTGCAACTGTCAGTCATGATGTACTGCCTCTTGAAATTAGTCAATAGAGCAAACAGCAAGAATTGCTGTGGGCAGAAAATAAGCACTGTAATCATGACATAACTGGGGTCAGTGATTTATGGATTTCAATATAGTAGTAGCTGCATATGATTGAAAATTTACTAGGTCACTAGTGCACCAAAAATTTTATTCACAGCCTCCAGGCATCTTTCGAAATGTGCAACAAAATAAAAACCTCTGAACCTGTTTTGACACTGCGGACTCAGTGGATGACACACCAGCCCAGTGAGTCTCATTTAAATGTAAATGTGTCATAAACTTTTGTACCAGACTCTTTAGAAACATCACCTACTTGAAGGGATGCTGCATGTGAATCTGGTAGACATATTGAAGTCGTAAAAAAGGACCTTTTCATAATCAAGCTTTATATTCTTTTGTTTTTAAAGTTGGAAGCTGAAGCCGTTCCTGAAGTATCTGAAAAATACGAAATTAGTTCTGTTCCCACCTTTCTGTTTTTCAAGGTAAGGATAAGGACGCAGAAGAGATCCTGCATCTGTAGCGGGCCGGGGGGCTGAATCTTGGTTCCTTTACCCCTTTCCCTGATCCGTGAACGTTAGACACTCGGTTGTTCCTTGCTTTGCCCCGTCTTCTTGTAGTCTCCTTGTTTGCATTGATGCTAGAGCTTGGCCTGGGGCATCCTGCAGAAGTGATATGGGCCATGTAGAGGACCAGCAACCAGAATTGGAGCTTCTGGAGAACAATCCAGATACTTGGCTATAGCCGCAAAATGTCCCCTCCGTTGGGTAGAAGTTGGTTGCTTAGGGCATGTGCCTGGACATAATGGAACATCTGGCCGGTCCTGGTTTGATTAATGACTCTCTTAGGAAGCAGGTGCAAATCTGTGCTTCGGGGCACCTCCGAGTGTCCCCACAGTTCCTCCAAGTACTGCATTTGTACTTAGTAACAGATTAATCCCCACGAGGGTGGAGGAAATCTTTTCTCTTTAAGGTTGGACTCTGATCTGGTTTGAGTTTGAGGTGTAGCGATGTTTTCCTAGTATGTTCCCAAAAAGGGGATGAAAGAAAACAGTTAACATATTTCTGAAATGGAGATGCATTCCGCCAATTGGTAATCAGAGTTTTAAAAACTCACCTAATAGTAAGTAGTGTTGACCTCTTTAAAAATCAGCTAGAGCTGTGGATTCGTGCTTGTTATAATTTTGGAGCTTTATGCCGCACGTATTTTAAATGACTTTTTTAACTTCAGAATTCTCAGAAAATTGACCGATTAGATGGTGCACACGCCCCAGAGTTGACCAAAAAAGTTCAGCGACACGCATCTAGCGGCTCCTTCCCACCCAGCGGTAATGAGCATCCTAAAGAAGACCTCAACCTGCGCCTGAAGAAACTAACTCATGCTGCCCCTTGCATGTTGTTTATGAAGGGGACTCCTCAGGAGCCCCGCTGTGGTAAGAAGCTGCTTTCACACGGACGCAAGCAGAGTGGGCTCCACCGGCGTGGGGTGCGGCTGGGTGGGCGTGCTCTGGTCCTGCCACTCCGTCCCTCCTTCGCCTGTGTGGAGACAGCTTTAGGAAATCCGGAAGGTCCTAATTCCCGCTCACACTCTGTATTGAGGTGGTGAGAATCTGTTTTGCACCACAGACACAGAGAATTTCAGAACCCAGAGGCTTCTTAGAAGTCATCCAGTTGAAGATTTTTGTTTATGTAATAAGCACCCAGAGATGGAAAGCCACTCAGCATACCGGGAGCAGAGTTGGGAGGGCATTGCTGTTGTGTGAATGGGCTTTTGTCTGTTCAGCTCTGTTTGCTGTTAATGGTTTCCTGTCTCTCTTGGGAGTCTCTTTTTATTCACCTTGCCCAGATTGAGCGGTTTAAAAAGTTTCAGAATTTGGTGGTGGTTCTGTGTCTCCCCCTGTACTTTGGCCTTCCCTGTTGTCACACATCGAATTATGCGACTAGAGTTCAACTACTGCTGTCATTCCCAGTTTATAGGTGCTCTTGTTTTCTGTGTATGTGTACACCCACCCCCCGACCCCCCCCCCCACACACACATATACATGCATATGTACGCGTGTAATTTTCTCCTGAAGTAAGTTTTAGGGTTTATTTGACCCCTCTGGTATCGGGTTTATGTTATTTTCTTTTTACTATGCCTAGTACAACATTATTCTGCTTCATAATTGAGCATTTAATGCCTTTTGATGATGCTGTTGAGAATCAGTTTGTTTCAACTATACAGGGGGGAATTTTTTTCAGATAGGTGGCAGTAAAATTGAGTGTGCTGTTGATAAGATTACTGCATGTCCAGTGTGACTTTATAAAAATAACCTAGCTTCTAGCATAGCTTTAATTGTAAATTCTTCCCTATATGGTTAGCAAATTACATACTAGATTCTGAAGAAGTCCAGTTTTAAAGATTTAAAGTTTCATGTTGAGTCCCATCTTAAAACGATAAAAGGCTCCTTTAGCTCTCACTTCTACTTGAAAAATTTCCTTGCTGGCATTTACGTGTCCAAGGATGCTTGCTGTTTAGATGTTGAAAAGCAAACTCTGTCTCTACCAGAGTTAACTCCAGGTAGCAAGAGTCAGTCTCTGTTGTGGTTGTTTGTTTTTAATAGAGGTTGTGGCTGGTTTACTTTCCCCTATCAGGCAGGAGAATCCTTTCTGGTGCTTTCTGTGGTGACCTAATAACAAGGACTTACAACGTGAGTCTGACGGGGTTTGTTCAGTGCCTTCACTGAAATGTGACGAGTAGTGGAACTGGCTGTCACGTGGATGCACCTGAATGACAGGTTCCCACGTAGGAAACCTCAGTAAAGCCGATACAGTGCTCTCTTCTTTGGGTTCGAACAGGACCGTCCTCTCACTCTTTTCTGAGTGGTGACCTTACCAGATCGTCAGGTGGTAAAACCCGCAGCTTGGGGAAGGTGTGCTGAGGCAGCAGGGGGAAGCACAGTGGCCGGGTGTCACAGCAGGGGGGCTGCAGCCCAGGGCCACCCTTGATGACGTAGGTACAGGTCAGTGACCCTTTCGGTGCCTTAGGTCCTTCCTTTGGTGGCGTTGGGGTTGGAGCCAGTCTTGGGGATCCTTTTCGAATCAGATGTTGTATGATTATTCCAATAAATTAGAAGTACCCTGAGGAATAACCATTTTTCTGCTTACCTCTTCATTAGACTTAACTTATAATGCATTTCTAGTCATTTGTATGTTAACTGGCATTTAGAAGAGTGTATAAAAAGCAAGTTAGAGTAAAAAAGAAGCTTTCAAACATTTTGGGACAATCTGAAAAACATAATTACAGACATCTAGATAATAAGAGATGTAATTGGGGAATTCAAACAAGATTTTTAGATATATGTAATTTAACAGGTACAGTTTCATTTCAAACAAGTACTTGCTTTATTCTTTATAATTTTTATAACTATGTTTTTGACAAGTTTTTCTGTTTCCTGAGGTCTTGATTTGTGTAACAACATGTCTTTGTATCAAGTATAGTAAGTAAGTGACGTATGGGAAATAGATCATTTTAGAATGTTGGTATTCTTTAATAAAACATCTATTCAAGGATCAGTTAGAAGGTGCCTTTCTTGTGCCTGTACCCTGCCACTTCCTTCATTGATGCTCCTCTGGCTCTGGCTCTGTGTCCCCCTTTGTGTGCCCTGCTACACGGACTCTGCATCTCGAAACCGTTCTCTTTCAGGAATGTACTCGACTTTCACCCTCTTCCTTTCTGAGCCCACTTAGTGGAAAATAGGTTTTGCTCTTGTGTTCGCACATCCGAGGTGAGGTACAAGCGGAGCCTCCTCTGTACAAGCAGTGACCGTCAGTGCTCGCGAACGCCACTGGCTGGTATTTCCATATTTGGAAAGAATTCCCTCGGAAGGCCCTGCTGTCAGTGGCAGCCGGTACTCCCCGTGGGCCCCCTCTGTGGAGTGGAGCTGCGGTTACGTTTGATTAGCCGACCCCACCTTGCTTTCGGGTAATCAGAAAACATGAATGTATAACATTTAAATTTTCTGTCAGGGAAACCTTGAGAGCCGTTTCAGGGTCTGCCCTGGAGCCCCGCTTGATCTCAGCCCAGCCCTTTCACACTTTACACCCTGTCTTTGTGGCTCTCAGCTTTGGCTTCTCCCGGCAGAACTGGGTAGTGTGTTAGGAGCTGGACGTGGTGATAGGGTGTCAGTTGTCAAAGAACTAGATTATTCTTAACTCTGTGCTCCTCAGGAGGACAGGAAAGAGAGGGCTCTCGTGTTTTAGGCAGATTTTCAAGACATACTGAGATGTACATCTTTTTAAACAGAATGTTAAATCCTTGAACATGCAGGTTAATTAAGTTATTTGGGAATTCTTGTATCCATTTCAGTTAACAAAGCTTTTAGCAAAGCAAAGGGTATTTGAATCACGGGACAGACTTTTCTTCTGCAGCAAAAGTCATCTAACAGGGTTTTCTTTTTAAATCTGACACAAACATTGTAGGTTGAGAAGTGGGCTTTAGGGTTTTATTGTTACTAGATGAAATGTACCAGTCAGGCTTATTGTTCATGCCTTCTGTCATGAGTAGAAATGACTGCAGACAGAAGCGGTGGTTCTGTGACAGCTAAGTGGTTCTTCTGCTTTTAAATATTTGTAATTGCGTGCATACGTTTTTCTTAAAAGTGTGTAAATATTTTGTTATTGGAATGAAGCCTTCTCACTGTTTTATCCTTAAGCATAACATTTCCAGTCTGCTCCTTTAACCCTTAAAAGCTGAACATTCCCCATCAATCTTTCTAGTCTGCATGTAATTGCCTAAAGCTAAAAGAAAGCTTTTCCTCAGCCAGTTACAGTAGAAATGAGTTAATATATTGGCAACAGAATAACCATCAGCAATCAGCCGTTAGCTGTTTACTAATGAACTCCCAGATGAGCGAAAAAAATTTCAGAATCAGTGTTTTACTTCAGGCTGTACATGAACTTAACACTTCAGTTGTAGGGAAAGCAACTTATATGCCGTACAAATACCAGTGCTTCATCTCAGTAAACTGTAGATTTGAAAATTGTTTGGAGCTCAGTAGTACATCTCCGTTTTCGTAGTAAAAGTGCTTTTGGAGGACAGCAGGTGAAGCCTGTTCTTGCAATTAATCACACTGAATTTGATGATTTGATTTTATTTAAAAATACTTGCTGATGCTGTGAAATCCTATAGGAATTTTGCACCTGAAGAACAGGTCATTTTCCAGTGAATTATGACTGTTTGAAAAGAAGGATGGTGTGTGAAAAGAGTAAAGTGGTACACAGTATTGAAAAACAATTGGGAAGAATTAGCTTATGGAAAGAAAAATATCCTCTTTTCAGACAAGACGAATAGATTTATAAAAGACTGGTATTCACACTCTTATTCTTCAGTACTAATGTCATAATAAGAAAATGATGTCAAAAAAGTACAGGACAGAAATGTGTCACAAAAGTATAATAAAATCACGGAACAAAGATTGTCACTATGGTGCAGTAAAAAAAAAAAAATCACATTACATACTTTGGGGAATGTAAATAGTTTTCAAAAGGACACTGTCAGGTAACAGCACCAGATGAGAAAGACGCTGTCAGCCTGTTGACAGTTCCTATGTAACAACACCAAAGACAGCTTTGAAACTCAGTGTATCCAGTGTCCACTAACAGAACACATTCCTCCTCGACCTAGATAATTTATTCTGTTAAAGATCATATGGGCTGAGAGCTCCTGAAATGGACACTCAGGAAGTACTTCCAGAGCAACAGAAACCAAACGGCTGGGATTCAGTATGCTCACGGAGTGGTTAAAAATGACTGTTGTGATTTTTTTTCCCCCATCCAGTGTTCATTCTCATAGACTCACAGACCGCAGGGCTGGGAGGGACCGTGGAGGCATCCGAATCCGTCCCCTGATCGATGGGGATGTGCGGGAAGGTGGGGTGGCCATCCAGGGCTCAACTGTTTGTCTCGTTGGTGGGTGGGGCAGGTTCTGGGGCTTTCTGACCAGCCTTATTTCTCCTACAACAAAATCATGCCTAATACTGAAGAGGAACATTGATAAAGAGAGACTTTTTAAAAAATTCACAAATGTGTTAAACTCTAAGCCCCACTTGAACACGTGGTTTATTTCAAGGTCAGATAAGGGGCTGTTGGAATTTGTTTTCTCTTTCCATGCTGTATAGCCATGCTAATTAAATCACGGGTGAGATTGAGGCAGACATCTTTGTTCAGTAGCTAATGTGTGTTGTGAATTAATTTAAAATCATGTGTAAGAGAGAAGCTAAGTTCTTTATTTTCTTTTTCTTATGCAGGTTTCAGCAAGCAGATGGTGGAAATCCTTCACAAACACAATATTCAGTTTAGCAGTTTTGACATCTTCTCAGATGAAGAAGTTCGTCAGGGCCTCAAAACATACTCCAACTGGCCTACCTATCCCCAGCTCTATGTGTCTGGGGAGCTCATAGGAGGACTTGATATAATCAAGGTTAGAACTGAGAAGTCTGTACCTTGTAAAGAATTTTCATGTAGAGCACACTTTTGTAAGTGCTGTAATAAATGTAAAGTAGGAATTTCTTAAGAATCTCAACATTTACGAATATGAATCTGGAGTATATGCAAAGTATTTCTGGTGAGATGGTTGATTGATATTCTGTGTCAGGGTACGACCAAGGAGAGTTGCTTTGTAGTGAACGTTTCTTAAACTTACACATGTGTTTATTTCAGGAGCTGGAGGCATCTGACGAACTAGATACAATTTGCCCCAAAGCTCCCAAATTAGAAGAAAGGTAAGTGTTTAAAAGTGTCAAATAGTCTACCATTTATTACTTTAAAAATATTTCCTAATTCTTGGTTTTTGCATTGCTCTTTCCATATAGAAACGAGGGATTTGTTTTCGTGTGCCGAGGTCATAAGAGTGTTGTTTGCAGTCAGACTAGTCATGCGAACTTGGGAAGGTCTCATTTGCACTGGAGAAATTTTTGTGCCAATTTAATGAGCACGTGGAGGATATTCTTCGTTTTCATAGAACGAAATGTCATTGTCTCGGTGGAATGACTAAGTTTTACTTACTTCTCTGCATCTCGGAGCCAGGCTCCAGCGGTCCCGGCGTTCAGCCTTCAGTAACAGCCCCTCCTCTCAGCATCATCCGGACGCGGGCTGTGAAGAGTGCCCAGTGTGAGGAGCGAGGGCCGCGCGTGTGGTACCCGCCTAAACACTTTGGGGGCCTCACGCTGCCTTTCTAACCATGGTAACTTAAAATTCAAGGAGATTTGGAGCTGTAAAAATTGGTCTTTGTTGTATGAAAGATCTCAATCAGCTTTTAAAGATCTTATCTTATGGAAATTTTGGACTTTGGCCTGTAGGGAGACTTACAGGGATTTTTATTGTGATAAATTTGAATTAATGTAGAGGTTTAAAGAAGAATTTATTTTGAAATACATCCGTGGATCAGCCGTTCGTAGTTGGGGCTTGAGTCTGTAAGGCGAAGCCTCCTCTTGTAGTTTTCTTGCCGTTCGGCATTTTGAGATAAAAGTGTTTAATAGTGAGCACCTCATTTATCTGTCCTTGATTAATAAACAGTGTCCCATGTGTGTCAAACTGACCTTTAAGTGCCACACTTTCTCAAATGATTTAGACCCTTTGCTGCCTTTTTGGTAGGACAGTGAGTCTCCTAGTGCCTTTGTTGACTCTGGGTCCCCAGTTGTGTTCTTTGCTGAATAACCTGGGTGGCTCACGAAGGCCGAGTGGCCTCAGAAACCTGCTGTGCTTTGTATGCGCTAGTACCTGCCTTCATTCTGTCTTGCTGCTGTTTACGTCCTCGTCTTCATCAGACCTTCTGTCTCGTTTCCTAATGCGCTGTGTCTATCTATATTTCCTGTGGCCTCAGACTAGATAGCTGGAGTCCCATAGAGATTGCTGTAGAGATACACTTGTATTCTGAGTAATCACTTGAAGTGCTCCTGGCAAGCACAGGGCCAGAGCCTCAGTTCCCGGCTCTGGCGACGTCTCTGTGAGTCGGACGGAAGCGCTTGTTTTGGTTTCCTGGGCCCAGATAGTTGGGTCGCTGCAGGTGACTGACGGCGATCAGCACCATATTCTTTATTTCTGAGTTTTTCTGAGAATCGGCCCATCGTACTCTACCGGAAGTGTACGTGACGAAGCCCTGAGCATGATTTGGGTGTTTCGTTTGTGATCGCTTTGTTCTCTGAGGAGGTGTTGAGCTGTGAGTGACCCAGAGCACCGGTGGGAAGAGCATCTGATGACGTGACCACCACAGGTTGTCCTGACGCTGACTGTCCTGGGATTTGTGACTGACCCTTAGGCGGCACGCAGACGGCTGCCGCTCCTGACAGCAAGTGGGGGATGGCCTTTGGAAGATCGTACAAAGTGTGAAACGCAAAGTTAAGACGGGGGCGTTTGATGTGAGCAGCTGGCGTTCCGGCACTTAGCACCTCCCGTTCCCCCTGTGACCTTGTGAACATCGGGGAGTGTGGGGCCGTGTGCCGCCTCGTGGCGGAGAAGGGAGCCCACAAGATGTAGTTCTGGAAATTGTGGGTGGGCTCAGTGTACAGGCCCCTTCCTGAACAATTCCTTACTGAATTGGCTATTATTATTTTTTTAGTGCTGTGAGTTGATGGGCTTGAATTGCAACTCGAAGGAACATTCGTTGCCTTAAAAGCCATATTGTGTTTTATGGTGGCTCAGGGAGAGAATGAAATAAAGGAAAATGTCAATGCATTTGCTTGTTTAATACCACTCAAAGCTGTGAACTATCATCCTGCTATCCCTCAAATATGCATGTTACTCCTGAAGCGGAGCAAAAGTGGTGTTTAATAATTGAGCTGAGCCATTTTATATCAATTTTCTCTCTTCAGGCTCAAAGTACTGACAAATAAAGCTTCTGTGATGCTCTTTATGAAAGGAAACAAACAGGTAAAGAACTCAAAAATGGTTTTATTTGTAATTTCTTTTGATGCTAACATCTGCAACTAGGGGACGCTTAAATCTTTTCTCCTGGCTGTGGCTAATGAAGCTATAGTGGCATCAGGAAGTTATCCGGGCCTTAATTGGTGCTTATGGAGATCAAGCAAAGTAATCCACATCTTGCCTGACTTCATAACATCCACATCTCAGCGGGGTGCGTTTCTCTTTGCTGCCAAACTTGGTCAACACTGTTCACCCTCTCCTGGTTCTGTTAGTTGCTGTCCCGTCCCGACTTGAGTCCCTGGGCTCGTGTAGTGAACAGTTGGGTCCGCACGCGTCCCGGGCAGGGGGAGCCTTGTCGCTGCCGGGGGCACCGGTTTGATGACTGAGTGAAAGTTTGGCAGTTCTTACTTGTAATGGGGTGGTTCCTGGAGCTTGTTGGATGAAGGAGCATACTGGCTGTGCATCGTTTTGAGGACCAAGTTAGATAAGAGCACTCCCACCGGCAGCTTGAGCAAAGCTGATTATCATTTGTATTTGGACTAGAACGGAGATCTCCAGAAACCAGGCTGTGTTCCCTTCCTTTATTCTCAGCCAGTGACAGAGGTAGGCAGGTGGGACACAGAGTCTGGCTCGTGGCCCAGGGGAAGAGGTGAAAGCCCTGGGAGGCGAGGCTGGTGGAACGGAGGGACGGCAGTCCGTCTCTTCTGTCGTCCCGGGCTGCTTGCTTCGCCTCCCAGGGCCTCACGGCCCCTTGTGTGAGTGTTCAGTGTGCTTCCCGGAGAGCGAGGTTGTGACAGCGAGTGTGAAAGTTAACATAACTAATACAGTAAAACCAGCTAGTTACCATAAGTCGTCAACGTAACTGTTGCAGTGTAAGCAGTAACCGGGAAAATGGTGATACATGTCTCAGCATGCTGAGATCACAGATCAGGACCTAGCTTCTTTGACTGGCTCACTAATTTTATTAAAACAAAATAGAGGAAGTTAATAATTCCCAGTAGTGATAAAGTCATCTTTTTATATCTTCTTGGTGATTGTTTAAAGCAGGTTTTTATTCTCAAAAGAGTTTGTTTCTGGAAGTCAGCAAGTATTCATACACCTTGGGAGCAGAGTTCCTTGCGCTGTTGAGAAATGCATGTGGTGCCGAGTCTTCCCTCCAGGATCGCTAGGATTTGGGACCTGGCGGCCTGACAGAACCGTGTAGCCCTTCCATAACCTCAGAGAAGCCTGGCACTCTGCGACTCTATAACGTAAAGATACGTTTTAAAAACCGGGGAGTAAAAGTCCAGTTGGGAACAGGCAGGTGATGATCCCGCTCAGTGCAGAAAGGTTAGGTGAGGCGAGGTCATCTGAGAGCGAGTGGAGAAGGAACTCAAGTCTTGGTAGAGCGGCAAGGTTCCCCTCTGAGGACCGTGTCACCACAGCGACTGTCAGGTTCCAGGACACGTGTCATCCCCGGTGGGTAGAGCCTGAAGGAAGTCTGTGGGCTGAGAGTCCAGGTGATGTCCGGATGGGTCAGGACTTGAAAGGGGGGTGGGGTGGGGATTGGTGGCCTCCTGAAATCCCAGCTGACCCACTGCTCTGTGATGCCAGAGGCACTGGGAGGCTCGTCACTGGAGTGCGCTGTGCCCACTGTGTCCCAGGGACAGAGCGTCCACAGGACCAGGCCAGTGGGCTGAGTAGGAAATGTAATCCATCTTTACATGTGTGTGTGTTTTCTTTTCCCCCTTCTAAATTTAGGAAGCAAAATGTGGATTCAGCAAACAGATTCTGGAGATACTAAATAGTACCGGGTAGGTAAATCTTGTTTTCAAATGGTGTGTTAAAGAAACTTCAGTTATCCGTAGTGCCACTGATGCCTTTCGGTTGTTGTGGCTCTATCTGTATATGTTTATCTATTTGTTTTTGCCGTGGTGCTTTGTGAATGGTCTAACTTAGACCACAAGAGGATTTTTTGGACAGTATCAACTGATTGGTAACATAAAGGAGCTTCTTAGGCAATTACTGGAATAACTATTTGTCTGCTTTCCCAGAGGAAAGTTAATAACTGAGTTCTTGAACACGCACAAAGATATTTTAGAGAAATGTATTAGAGGTTTTTAATTTCCTTAAAAACTATTCTAGTTTTCAACATTTTATCAAATGCCTAGGGCCCATGTACAGGTCATTCTGTGCATCTCAGAAGCAGGGTAAATTGAAGGCTGTGTTCATGCTTTTGATCTGCTCAGCGGTAATGCTGCCAGGTAAGAGGATTGCAGTTGCTTTTTTTCTGATCAAAAACAAACCACTTGTTTGGAGATACTTCGCCCATATTCGGTAGAGTTCATCAAATGTATTTGCTTATTATTATTATTATTTTACTTATTTCACAACACTTTCTTTTTAATGTTCTTACTGTGCTAGCCATAGCTTGCTTTATTTAGTTTTTAAGTTAATTTTTTAGCCATGGCTTTAAAGAGATTAACCATTTCTTTGAAGTCGTGGGGAAGGTAATCTTTTGAAATATTTAGACATGCGTGGGCATGGTTGAAAGTAGTCAGTTGAGTAGCACAGGTTAAATACAACTCTGGGGACATGAAAAGCAAAGATTGATTTCTTCAAGTGATGGTGACATTTTACAGAGGAGAGTCTAAAGAGTCTTTTGTCATATGGTCTCTAGCCAGACCTTCCTCACCCTGCCCGAGGACAGAGCAGAGGCTGGCTTGCTTTTGGTCATCAGTTTTTATGGCCCCGTTCTCTGTCTTCTGTCACAGCTCCCCGGTGTGACACGCTCAGGCCACCTGTCTCTAGTGACAGCGTGTCCCCTCAGGGCGTACCTCCACGAGGCCATGGAGCCAGGGCACAGGAGCATCGGGCCGTCTCAGCTCGTATGTTCGGTGGAGAGTCGCCCAATACCTGTCTAATCCTGTTTGGATTTGCAAGTACCTGCTCCCCAGAACAGAGGGGCTTCTTTGGAGACAAAGCGCTCCCAGCTGCAGACTTGCTGACACAGTCGGCTCTGCGGTGAGCGGGGCCGTGGGGACCTTTGCCGCTCTTCACCTTGAACAGTCTGTCCTCTTGCTGAGAGCTGTCAGTTTGTGGAGAAAGCTCTGGCTTTTTATTCCTTCCTTCCGTTCTTACACTCCTCTTCGCCTTCTCTGCCCAAAGACACACGCCTCGAGGGGCTGTGTACCGAGCATACACGGAGGTATGGAGGTACTCTGTGCACAGAACTTTCAGGAGACGCATTGGCTGTCGTGACTGCACACACGCCTGCACGTGCGTGGGCCCGGTGCCTCTCAGCTCCCTTGTGGACCTGTAATTCGCGCTCATCGTACTGTTCAGACTAGGAGATCTGCCTCCTTTAGTTCAACCTGAAGGGAAACTTACACCGGGTCTTGTTTTTTTTTTGTTTGGTTTTTTTTTTTAATCTTCTCTTGCTTTCAGACAGTCCTGTTGGTACTTGGTGCTGATTTATCCTGTCATCTTGTTTTTTTGACTGTTTTCTGCACCATGAACAGTTTTCTTGGGAACTTGTTTACTGAGTGAGATTTCCCTGTGAAGGTGGTTTTGGTGTTATGGAACCCGAAATTTATCTTTTATATGTGGCGTTTTCTTTGGCCGGTTTGTGGGACCGCACATGTCTCCGCAGTCTCCCTGCAGGAATTGAGTCCTGCATTCATACTGATTCCTTGACCACCAGACGGTGAAGTCCTGAGTAGATATGGCTGGGTTTCCATGCAGTGACTTTTCATTCATTATAACAAGTAGAGTTCATTGTGCAGCATGAATGCACACCACTCTCACTGGTTTGTGCGTATTGAAAACAGCATGTGTGTTCTGAAATAAGTTCGCTTTCACGTGGGAAGGCACACCTCCATAAGGTGGCGTCTGTTGGCGGTGGCGTCGTCCTGGGCGGCGAGCGTCTGGCCCAGCCCTGGCGTCCGCGAGCGGTCACAGACGTCAGAGCTGCTCCCCGCTCCCTGAGCAGCTTCCAGGACATCAGAAGCAGCGGCTCCGGGGGTGAGGGCTGGGAACGGAGTGTTAAGGACAGACTCGTGTAAACTTGGGGTACAGGTCTAACCTGGGGTTGGCACACGGCCACACCCACTCCTGTCTGCCCTGTGTGGTTGCTTCTGTGTGATGCAGAGACTAGCCTCCAGGGCCTGTGTGTTTATGGCCTTGCCCTTTCAGAAAAAGTGTGCTGACCCCTGTCTAATCCAGTATTGTCTAGAGAAAAGTCCAGATGAATTTGTACCTACCTGACAGATTGAGAGAAGTAAAGTCATTTCCATTTTTTAGAGTGAATGTCATTAGCAACGAAACAATTTACTTTTCCTGACTGTTTTTTAAAACAGCAAGTAGGCTTTATAATTTTTGTTTAATACAGCTATTTCCTGTTAAAATGTTCTCTCCTTTTTGTAGTGTTGAATATGAGACATTTGACATATTGGAGGATGAAGAAGTAAGTTCTGTGTTTTATGTTTCTCATCCTTTGCCTTTAGTTTTACTCATTAGGGTCTAATAGTAAGGTTTCAGAGTTTCTCTTGTTTCCGTAGGTTCGGCAGGGGTTAAAAACTTTCTCGAATTGGCCCACGTATCCTCAGCTGTATGTGAAAGGGGAACTTGTTGGAGGTCTGGATATTGTTAAGGTAAGGTCGGAGTTCATTTGGCATCCTAAAGATGGGAAATGTTGGCATGTTTGAAAATTACAATTTCGTATTGAACAGAAACGTCGGAGCTTCCCTGACTCCTTTCCTTCCTGGCCTCCTGTCCAGTCACTTCTGGCTCACTTTTGATTACCATTTCTTTTAAAAGATTTTTTTATCTTTATTTTTTTATTTACTTTTACTTTTTACATGTGTGTTTTTGAGAGAGAAAGCACGAGTGGGGGAGGGGCAGAGAGAGGGGGATAGAGAATCCCAGCAGGCTCCATGCTGTCAGCACAGAGCCCCATGCGGGGCTCCAAGTCACGAACCACGAGATCATGACCCGAGCTTAAGTCGGACACTCAACTGACTGAGCCACCCAGGCACTCACCCCGTGTTACCATTTCTGTGTCCCTAGTACCTTGTCCTCCCACTGTCCCTGTTGGATCAGGCTGTGCTCACCCATCCCCTGAGCCAGCCAAATCATCCCCCTGCTGTGGGGCCTTCTGCCTCCCCGGGTCTTCTGCACAACCTCCTTCCTCTCCCGAAGAGCTTCCGGCCAAGGCCAGAACTGTAACTTGGCCGTCCAGGATGCTCTGATGATGGCCAAGCTCGAAATGTGATTTTTACCCCCACGCTACTAAATCTGATGGAACGGTCTTCCGTGTTTTTAGCCTTTCTTTCCTCGTCCCCCCTCCGCTTTGGATATCTTGTGTTCCATAGTTACATGTGTTCTGTGCCCTTCAGGACCCTTGTTGTCTATGAATCCTGTATAGATTCTTGAAGCCAGAAACATTTCACTCCTGTTCCTGAAGTTCTTCTGTCCTTTTATATTTACGTTGTATTGTGTTTTTGTGTTATTTTGCCTTACCTGCACTGGGGTGATGGAGGGAAGAGCGCCGGGGCACGGGCAGGAGGCCTGACACCCAGTGCTGCCTGGTCCTGTCAGCTGTGTGACAGACCTGAGGCCCCTGACCCCGGCTTCCTAACAGAACTGTGCGAGGCTGCTGTGGGCCTTCCCCACGTCCAGCTTGGCCTCAGACGCTAGGAGATCGGTTAGCTCTGTCAGATCGTAAGCATGTTTAGAAACAATACCTTTTCTTATACACCCTTGACATCTTTGACCATTAATTTACTTGTTTAGTTTGCTTTAAGGAAACCCTCCACGAATGCTCAGTGGGCAGGACTTTTCTTGGGGCGCTTACACCTGATAGCGCCTGTGTGTGCCACGCGCTGTTTCTTAGCCTGGTCCCGCAGGGACGCCGCAGTGCTAACCCCCCGGGAGCAGCACTGCTCCTAGTTAGGTTTTAAAATAAGTTTTAACTCCTACTTTGGTCTTGTTGGGAGGACTCGAGCCCAGCGCTGAGTGATATCAGCTCTGTGGGCCTGGACGTGTGGTGAACACGGGGCAGGGGTGCCGTCTGCTGTGGTTTCACCTACACCAGTCTTGTCTGCTGCGGAGTGCTGTTTGACATGGCGCTTCTGAAGGCAGCGAGTGAGGCATTTTTACTAGTAAAGTGTCTCATTCCTGGAGGAGAAGAACAGGCTTAACATAGTAGGTCTTGAATAGCCCTGAAGCAACAAAAATAGATCTGCATTTGTTATGTTATATATGTGTTTTATTTTTTTAAGACACAGTCTTCAAACCCAAATACTCCTGAGCCTGTTCTTGTCTGAATGTTTTATAGCCTGTACCTTAGCCATTGCTAACTCTTGGGAAGATAACAATCGATCAATCTCATTTAATTCTAAAGCCGAGCTGTGCAGGCAACTTCGTTTTAGGTATAAAACAGGATGTTACAGGACTCTTGATGTTCACCTGCTAAAAAGACACATCTGGACATTTGTGATATTGGTAACATTTTCTCCCGAGAAGATAACTGGGAACAGTTCTTAGGTTGCCATTTTAGTCCGTTTCCCACACAGCACGGTTCTTCCGTCTTTAGTTCAGCGGAAACATCATAGTTGCCAGGTGGGTTAATTCTGGCTGGCCTTTAAGAGCACTGAGTGCTTTTTGCTGTTGAATGGTTAGATAAAGAACTTACCTGGTAATTCAATGACTCAGTCAATCTAGTGTCTTGAGAAAAATAGCAACTAATTAGTACATGTTCAGTGAGGTCATGTTATCACTACTGCAGAATGTTTGTTTACAGAGGGAATATTTAGATAAGGTCGGCGCACATTAGTGGTGATGATGATGGCGATCCCCGTGTGCCAGACAGGCTGCCTTAGTGCTTAGGCCGTCCTCACAGCATCCTGAGTTCCTTGTCCTCAGTCGTCAGATGAGGGGACACGGATGAGAAGTTAGGTAATCTGCATGTGACGTCACAACTCGTGAGTCCTTGAGTCCAGATTCCACCTGCAGGCTTCTGGGCCTCTCCGTGAGCAGCATGGCCTCCTGCCCTCCAGGTCATGTGCTCAGAAAAGTCCTGCCTGGTCCTTTAGTGCAGTACGATGTGTGCTTGTTAATGAGTTAATGTTGGAAGATCCCAGAACATCGCTGAGAGTTGTCTGAGTTTATATGACAGAATCACACCTGATGGGGTTTAACCAGAGATGAAGTCACATGGAATTTAGTGTGTGTGTGTGTGTGTGTGTGTGTGTGTGTGTGTGTGTTTTAAGTAGTCACCATGCCCAACGTGGGACTTGAATTTATCATCCTGAGATTGAGAGTCGCATGCTCTACCGACTGAGCCAGCGAGGTGCCCTGATTTTCGTGGTTTTATTGATGGATGTTCATGCTGCTTAGTAATAACCTGCAAATTTACATCAGATTAAATGTTTGTCTTAAACTAGAAAATCTCATTCATCATTTATTGTCACATTTTAAATTTGATGGCTGTGTTCCAGATTTTAAATCTGCAAGATAGCACACAACATTTCTGGATTTGTATGTCTTTTTAGTGGTTTTTGACCTCTACATGTACACTTTTACGCTCGTAGTACTGCGGCCTTTCCAGGCTGGGTTGAAACAGTGAAGCCTGTGTACCACTCGTGGGGCTATGGGTGTTTTGCTCTAATTGCTGTGTTTGTTAATGCTGATCACTCTGTTGGCTTTGGAATGCCTTTTAAAACCTCAGTTCTGTAATCTGATAGTGTTTATGGCATAATAGTTAGTTTCAGCGTGTTGGTGAGCTAGAGTTTTAGTCCAGTGAAGTGTTTCTTCTGGTCTCTGATAACGGAAGCAACCTGTGATTGTTCTTCAGACGTTTCCATTTTTCATCTGTCCGCATACATGTTGTTTTTGCTTTCTGTTTTCGTCGTTAGGAACTGAGAGACAACGGTGAGCTGCTACCAGTGCTGAAAGGAGAGAACTAGAGGCTTGTATGCTCAGCGCCCGACTGTTGCGGGAACCACTTGGTCACAACTCCGTGCTCAGAGGTGGGCGAGGGGCAGAGACTGCGCCTCGCCCCGTTACGCTCTGTGTATTTCACAAGCTTGTGCTAAATACATGTATGTGTTGTTTTGTTTTTTCCACCAAACAATGCAATAAACATCTTCAAAATCCAATTAAAAATTCTTGTGTAAAGAAGGTGTGTTTTTACGATGATGTTAAACATGTAGCAATTAGCCTGCTTTAAATTTCTTTTTTGAAATACACGGGCACCTTGTCGCAGTTCAGAAACGGCCGGTTTCAGGAAATTCAGAACGGTGAAGCTGTCTGAAATCCACACTAACACTTAGAAGAGCTCATAGACCAAACCAGTGGCTCCCCTCAATGGCCAAAGATCTCTTTACAGCTTGGAAAAATTCAACTGAAAATTTTCCTCTGACAGCATCCCTGTGTGAGGCGCTGGTGAGATCGCACAGGCCGTGTAGGGCTCTGCAGACGTGGAGACTCGTTTCAGACAGCGCCGGCGGTGTGTTAGCTGGCGGCGGGCCAGAGGAAAGTGATTTCTCGTGAGCGCGTTGCCCTCACGTGCTCCAGGACAAGGAGAAGAACGGGGTGGGCCGGGGGATGACAGTCGTCAGTGTGTGTTAAGCACCACAGTTTATTTTAGTCATTATGCTGAAAGCATTGATTTAGCCCTTAAATAGGCTGAGAACATCCTGAGGTCCATGAAAATTTCAACAGTTTTGATCCTGACTCTCACATATTTAAAAAATAGTTGCTCTGTTAGGCCTTTGTTGGGCGTGCCTCAAACAGGTGGCTGAATTCACCTCCTGGGTTTGTAGATTGTGTTTGGTGCCCATGGCGCATGTTTTCTTCATTAGATTTTCCCAGCTTGTTGGTCTGGGTGGTTGAGGCTCCACAGAAGTGTCTGGTGATCATAAGGAAAGGGTGCAAAGGTCAGCAGTTTACATGAGAAACCAGAGGAAGTGCACGAAGATCTAGTGAAGTTATTAGCCTTTCACCAGGACACGAGCACCCGGCTGTTTCCTTGCTCTGTGTAGAGGAGAGATCTGATGTCTGTTGTATGTCACAAAGGGCAAGTCTGCACAAAATCCTAAAGGTGGTCACGGCCCTCCTGCCAGAGGAGGACACCTGTTGTAGTGGGTTTCCTTGCCAGTGTGTGTAATTAGATGGGGCTCCTTTGGGCATTGGTGCATGAACTTCTTTTTTCTTTTTAAAACAGAAATCCTTGCATAAGCGAAACCTTTACAACACAGATGGAAATGGAATTCTAACTGAAACTCTGTGAAGCTTCAGGGATGCCGTGAACCACGGAGGAGTGCATAATTTTCTCATATCCGGTGTCCCGACACTGAAAGCCTTGCGTACTGCTTTTGTGATTTTTTGCTTTGCCTGCAAAGTGCCACCTGTCAGCAAGCCACCTTTTAACTTCCCCTTATCCCAAGTGAGAATATCTATCTTTGTGGTCGCAGATTGGATAAGCTAGTTTTTTTCCTAATGCACATTTAACTAAAATGCGTAAATTTTAACGAATGCCCACCTGCCAATTTGGGAACCACTGATCTGGCCAAGGTGGCTGCTCGGGTAATGTGAGATGCTCATGCATCGTAGGGTGACCTCCTCCTCCTGTGGGTGACTCTTGCGTGATGCAAAACTCTGATGGCGTCACCCGTGATTGAACATCATAGTTTGAGTCAGGGTGAGTGTTCAGAGTTTTTGGGGGACATGTCACTTTGTTAAATTCTGCCAGTTGTGGGCGCCATTGGCTCCAGGGATGGTGGAGGGGCGGTGGCGCATATTTCTGTTTTATAGGTGTTTCCGGCTAGACATTGGGAAGATCAGGGATCTCGTTCATACAAAGTGATTTAGTTGTTCCTAACCTGACTTTATTAGGTATGTTTTAGGAGCAAGGCAAGAGATTCTTGGGCCCACCTGATCTTGGGAGCTCCATAGGCAGTCCCAGATCCAGCTTTCTAATCAAAATGAGCCTACCCTCGTAGGAGCGTTTTGTCAAAATTGAAATCCTCTCTGGTCCACAGATCCTAGAGAAGGTTGTGCCCAGTGCTCGAGAGACCATTCAGCTCACAGGGTTAGGTGACCGCGTCATTGGGAGGCTGCCCTGTCCAAGCCGTGGTGGGAGCTTGTGGTGGGGGGCGGGGCTCACCTGGGTGCTGTCGGAGGGTTTTAGTGAGTCCCGGATGTTTTGGAGGAGCAGGGGCAGGGCTGAGCTGCTCCGTGCGCCACCCAGCTCTGCCTGTTAGGCTGTCTCCCTGTGCTTGTGCTTCTCTGTAAAATGGAGCTCATCGTGGGGCCCTGAGGGCCTGGGGAGGGCGGTTAAATCTCCAGGGGCAGCCGGCACTGCTAGAGGCTCACGAGGGGTGGCTGCCTTTGGGACTTGGCCTGTTCACCCCCACCCTCAGGGCCGTCCTTCCAGAAAGGCCTCCTCGAGGAAGGGCTGGTAACTCCTCCTGACTTGCGTGTCCAGGCAGGAGGTAACTTCCTTTCCAGGGAAGGGTTCTTAGAGAGTTAGCATCCACCTGGAGAGAGGAGCCTGCAGGAATGGATCCCCCTCCCACTTTTTAAGCTCTGATTTTGTTTCATAACCAAAAATAGAAAAAATAAAAAGCCAACGAGAGGAGTTGGGAATTCTGTGCAGGGAGGAACTCTAAAGTCAAAACTTGCTCAAGAGTGCAGCTGCGGCCTCGGAGCTGGGAGTCCCGTTCAGGATTCGGTGACTCCCCAAGGCTGGGGCCCACTGCCACCACCAGGCTCCCCCGTGAAGGTGGGGGGATCACGGTGCCTTTATGTGTGTGGGGAGGGGCGCGGGCCGCTCCACCTGGAGCTGCCCGCTCCTAGGTGCGCCAGGTGACTCAAGTCCAAGGATTGACCTGCAGGAGGCCCGGTAGGTAGGTATGTTGAAAGTTGCTGTAATAATGTCGATGTCCCTCGTGAAGATAACAGGATGGAGGGTTGACTTTGCCCATGCAGCAGCTTATTAGACGTTTTTGTGTCACGTTGAGGGACAGCTGAGGCTTGTGGAACCACGCTTTTCCTGGCCTCCGTCAGGAACCCCAGGCCGTGTCCATCTTAACTGGTGGTTGACTTGCTCAAGAAGGACGAAGACAATGATTTTCCATGTTCAGTAGACAAGAATCTTACTGAGTTTCAAATTGAGATGGATTTTTTATTTATTGTATTTACTGAGATTGATTTTTAAAAACAGCATGTTTTGGGGCGCCTGGGTGGTCAAGTCAGTTGAATGTCCAACTTCGGCTCAGGTCATGATCTCGCATTTCGTGGGTTCGAGCCCCATGTCGGGCTCTGCTGACAGCTCGGACCCTGAAGCCTGCTTCGGATTCTGTGTCTCCCCCTCTCTCGGCCCGCCCCCCCCCCCAGCTTATGCTCTGTCTCAATAATAAATAAACGTTAAAAAATTTTTAAATACAAATAGCATGTTTTTATAAATAGAAAATCTCATTTTAGCAAAGCTACATTGTAGTCACGAAAAGTTTAATTGCTCAGTAAAATAACTGCAATACATTTCAAGTGCCTGACTTCGGTCACCATCCCTTCGTGTCCCTGGAAGGAATCATACAGACGTGTCCTGTGGTCAGAGAAGTTAAAAGCTTCAGATTAAAATAGGAAATATTATTTCTGATTTAGTTTTTAATTAAAATCCATTTTCTTGGGGCACCTGGGTGGCTCAGTCGGTTAGGCATCCGACTTCGGCTCAGGTCATGATCTTGCGGTCTGTGAGTTCAAGCCCCGCATCGGGCTCTGTGCTGACTGCTCAGAGCCTGGAGCCTGTTTCAGATTCTGTGTCTCCCTCTCTCTCTGACCCTCCCCCATTCATGCTCTGTCTCTCTCTGTCTCAAAAATAAATAAACGTTAAAAAAAATTTTTTTTTTAATCCGTTTTCTTAAAATGGACAGTTGGTTCTTGTTTTTCCTAAATAAAAGTAATTTGGTTCTTTGTAGATAAATTCATTTTTTTTAATGTGTTTCAAGTGTTGGGTTCTAGGAATGGGTAGAAGTTGAAATAACTTACTGACGCCTCATAAACTGAAATGCATAGTTCCAAGCAAGACAAGGTTTCATACTTGGTCTCCCAACTCTGGTTTCAGAGTCTTGGCTTTTTTCTCCCATATAGCTTTGTCTGTTACCTATAGACGTTCACGTTTGATAGACAGGAGTTCAGCTGGCCTCGGGGACAGTCAGGGACCCGGGGAGGGGGGTGATAAGGCTCGCCTGTGTGCTGGGCGTGTATCGGGGCTCACCATGTGCCGGCTCATCTAGAGCCGCAGCAGCCTTTGTGGAAGGACTCCTGGTGTGTTAAGTCACTGCTGGTTTCCAGGGCCAGGAGCTAGGATTTGAAGCAGGACCCTTGACCTCAGCTCCCCCGTGCTGTGCTTTGAGCAGGCCACGTGCGTGTAGGGCCTGCGCCCAGGGCCAGCCGTGGAGTTCCCAGGGCCCGGTGCAAAATGCCATTGTGGGCCCCTTGTTCAAAAAGCAGGAAAAAAGTGCCCTTACAGGTGCTAAGGCCTAAAGCTGTTTTCTTGCACATTCTCTACCTGTCATGGTTTTTAAAATTTGCAATTTAATGTTCTAAGTAAAGTTAACAATGATTAGCACAAATCCATTTTTCTTTATGTCATACAGTGATGCTTTTAAATGCAAAAGTAGGAGCATTTGGCTTGTATGTGGAATACCTGACCCTAGTTTGGTTTTTTCACTGCTTCCGCCTGCGTATTTTGTTACCAGGACATCGCAAATGTGCACAGCGCCAGACTTCACTTCTCGCTCACTTCTCGATTGGTGCACATTCTCTCAACGTTCACCTTCAGTGCATGGTGAGTGAGGAGGACTGGGTGCTCTCTCTTTCCTTCTGTCAGGTTCCCTGTAGG